TATTGCGCATCTGTGTGAGATGTCATCGAGACGATTTTTCCGACGCTGGGCTCTGGATCCTTTGATGGAACTGACGCACTACCGTCTGTCGATTCTCCGCTGTGAAACGATTATCAAGCCGCTGATGAACGAAGATTTATATCTTATTTGTTTGTCGGCTGCAGGACAAACTTCGTGATGTCGATGAATATTTTTACAGTCTTTAAATTTCTGATGTTATTTATCGTTGAATATTTTCTGCTTTATTGTAATGAATAAATAAATTTTCAAATAAATGAATTCATTGATTTGCGTGGATTTAATTTTTTTGTATTTACTTCTTTATGTACGTTGGGTATAAGGCGCGGAATGAACGATCGAACGCGACAGGGCAGAGAAATTTTTTGACTACAAGTACCAAAGAGTCCGTTGGCTGAGTTGACTCGCTTCTTTCGCTGCAAGAAGTTTCCGCAGCATATACTTCTCAGGTCCTCGCATGAAGCTTTGTAACGTCTTTGTATCTCTGTCTCTCCCACATAACATAGGTAGGTACCCTTGCTGTACTTCGCTCGGGCTGTTCTTTGTGTGTCGCCCCGCGGTCAAACGACAATCGATATACTTGTAGCTCGCGCACATGTTTACACTGTAATGTTATAGATCGCCGTGTTCAGTACACGTTACGACGCTTCAGCGTGAACATCAAAGAAGTATCGCATCGACGTGCAGCAAGTGATTCTTGATTTTCGAAAAAGTAAAAAACAGCTTATTTTATTAGTGCTTTTGTGTTGTGTGTTTGAGTTCGTTGAACAATAGACATGTCGTCAAGCGACGATTCTCGTGAAATTGTCAATGATGACGAAATTGACGAAATTGAACGGTGCTTGAACGAATTTGCTAGAGTTAACGTTGAAAAATTGAAGAATATTCGTGAAAATTTCAATTGGGAGGAGAATGAGTCCGGTGATTTAGTCGGTCAAATTCAACCCTTACTTATGGACTGGCTTGGCGCGTATCCTAACCTCCGTGAAATATTTCTGCCGAAAGAAATTGATTTGCTTCTCAAGGATTCCATTAAGTGCAGAACAAAAAGAACAGGCGTAGATGACAATGCAGGCGATGTGTTCTTGGAGTTCGTAGTTAACACCGGCTACAAGGACGAGCCCGAAATTGACGAAGACGGCAAGCCATTGTTTCGTCGATCCACTGCAGTGCATCGCGTGTCCGAAGAGGAGGACCAATTGTCTACGATGGGAGATCTACGTGAGCTTTTTAAAATTTACGACCGATTCGACGTGAATTACACCAACGAATGCGGATTGACGCATTTCCACGTGGCCTGTGAGTTCGGTTTCGACGACGTTGTGAAAAAATTTCTCGAGCTCGGTCAGGACCCCAACTGTCTATCTCAAGAATCGGTCAATGTCGATCCACCGCTAAATATGGCTCTGACCAATCATCATGACACGGTGGCACGATTGTTGCTGGAAGGCGACGCCAACCCTAATTTGGCCAATTTGAACGGAAGGACTCCTTTGCACATTATTTGCAAAAGAAGCGAAAATCTTGGTGACTACGACGGTGACTACGCGGAAATATTCTTTAAAATAAACGAAGACATCGAGAAGACGGTGCAAATCGATGCCCAAGACAAGTGGGGCAACACACCTCTACATATGGCACTAGACTACGGCTTGGAGAGCACAGCCTGTATACTGCTGAGAAGAGGCGCGGATGTAAATTTAGTCAATGCAGAGGGATTGACTCCTCTGCACCAGATTTGCAGATTTGATGACAGCAGTGACCTATTGGAGATGTTCTTCAACATCAACGAAGAAAAAAATCAGGTTGTACAGATTGATGCCCAAGACAAGAAGGGTAATACACCTTTACATTTGGCTCTGGAATACAGCTTGATGGTCACAGCCGAAATACTGCTGAGAAGAGGTGCAGGTCCAAATATAAACAATGCAGAAGGTTTGACTCCACTACACGTGATTTGCAAGAGAGATTACGACGATGACTTGGTAGAGGTATTCTTCAAGATCAACGATGAGCTTCAGCAGACTGTGCAGGTTGAGGCCAAAGACGAGAAGGCACGGACACCGCTGCAATATGCCATGGCGAATATTTTGCCGAATGTGATCGAGTTTCTATTGGATCACGGCGCTGATCTGTCTGGATTCGTTTTTCCTTCCGAGAATGACTTCTATGAGGCATGTGATGCGCGATATTGGGAAATTTGGGGTGACTTGAAACTAGCATCTGGTGCACTGGCCTGTGTCGAACGTCTTGAGGAAAAAGGTTACGAAATGGATCGCAGCGACGCCTTGACAATCATGAACGTTCTCGTTATAAAAAAAGTTTTCGAGATGCCATTGGATCTCGATGAATCCTGGTATGATGACGAAAGATTTTCTAGACAAGCGGCAAAGATAGAGATACGTATAAATCTGACGCTCTACGATTTCATCCGATTACGACCCGAAAGGAAGGAAAAGCTACTCACATTTATGGAATACTTCGAGTTAGCACGTGTGAATTACGCTCGAAGAATTCCTGAAAAACCCAGGGAGGCTTGTACTGCGCACCTTTGCGAGATTCTTTCGAAACGATTTTTCCGACGCTGGGCTCTGGATCCTTTGATGGAACTGATTCGCCACCGATTGCCAATTCTCTGCTGTGAAATGATCATCAAGAAGCTAAAGAACGAGGACTTACGTAATGTTTGCTTGGCAACTGCAAACCAAAGCTCATGAAGATGACGATATTTGTAGTATTTTTTAATGCTTAGAGTTATTCGTTGTATATTGTCCATTTTAATTCAAATATATGGTCGATTAAAAAAAAAGAAGTAGAATTCATTGGCTTTCGTAGATTAAAATTTTTTCGTATTTCAATTTAATTTCAATTTTCTTTAAATTTCATAATAATTCGTTGTTATTTTTATCCCTTCTCGTCGTTTCATATACAAAGTTTAAATACGCACGTACACTCCGCACCGTCGAAGAGGAAGAAAAAAATTTCAAAAACACACAAGTATGTACGTAAGCAAAACTGACGTCACGTCGTAGATTATAAACTTTCGATGCCTCAACGAATATTTTATACCCATACAAATAGCATGATAATAATAAAAGGCGCCGCGCGCGAGATCCACCGCTCACCCCACAACTAAACAGTTGTGTGCGTTAAACACAAAAACAAAAACACTCCGCGGATTAAATTCGCACCTTTGCTCGCGCGCCCCCCACGGTATTCCGTATATATGTACGTACGTCCTATATGATAATGCACTACTACTGCACTCAACGAAATGGTAGTAGGTACATAGTGGCAAAGCTCCAGCATATAAATGTGCGTGCGTGGGTGGGTGGGTGTGTGTGCGAGTGCAAAAGGGCGCGCACACACACACACACGCATAAGTTGAGAAAATTCGAAATTCGCCGAGCGAAATTTCTCCTGTGTGCTTTGTGCGTCTCGCCGCTCGTATTAAAGTTATTGTTGTTGTTGTGTCTGCAGTATTGTCGAATGGAAAGTTCATTCGCGCGTATGTAATTCAATAATACCGACATACTTTCTTTTCGCTTCCAACTTGGAGACGAGTTGCTTGTTCCTTTTTTCGATTCACTTATCGTCGATCGCCTTCCAAAAAAAAATACCGCAATGCACAACTCTGCGATCATTATACCCTCATTTTTTCGCGCGCTGGCATCATTAATACCCTTCCGCGTTCTTTTACGTCTCTCTGTGTGTATACATATAATATTTTTTATTTTCTTCTCTCTCTCTCTCATTTTTTTTGTTTTTCCACAACGAGCTCGTTTGTCGCTGCGCTTCGCGCCCACCCCGCGCGCGCGCTCGCGTATGCAGTGTGTACACATTGTATAAAAACCACGGTGGCGGTTTTGAGCTCGTTACACGCATACACCACCAACACACATACACCCCCTTGTCCTCTTTTGTTTCATTCATTTTTTTTTCTCCTTTCTTCTTTCTTTATATTTTTTATTTGACACCCGCAGAGTCGGCATTGTGGAAAGTTGCGTTAAAAGAAGCTTTTTACCACCGTATATATATATGGAGCTAAAAAGGAGCGAGCTCTGCAGGTGAATGCGAGGGAGTAGTAGCAGCAGCAGCGGTGGCGGCTCGTTTCATTTTTTTTTTCCGCGATAACTGCGGAAACAGACGGATGCGACTGCTCTGCGTCGCGACACCGAATACACTCGTGAAATGTTCAAATGTGTATGGTGTTAAAGTCCGCGACGTTGATTTTTTTTATTTTGTTTTTGTTTTAATTTTTTGTCTTCTTTTTTGGATTTTTTATCTAGCGTTAACTTTTAATTTGGCAAAATGAGTTAGGACGGAGACGCGACAGTGCAAGATTATCCGATTACAGCGTCGTTCAATTGTATCTCGTTCGTCCCGCTTTTTTTCTACATAGACGTATAAAAGAGTATTTCATTAAAATTTCAACTCGCGAAAAGTAAGTTTTCAAAAATTTAGGAGAGAGAGAGATTTAATTTTGATTGTCAGGCTTAAAAAACATGAATTTAATATGAGGCATGGAGCTGCTCTGGCCTCGTTTGACTCGTGCAAACAGCTGCAGCTGCACACGCACATACACACACTCAGTCGCATACACAGACTCCACCCGCTTAATATAATTCACTTCTCGACCAAGTTACCTCGTCAGTGGCGTACGTGTGCAATTATTATTGCTCTTGCATAGAGCGAGAGAGAGAGAGAGTTACGCGCGACCGAAAACTGGGTTTTCTGGCTACAAAATTTATTTCCGAAGTGGAAATTTTTTTTTATGCCCTTTTTTTGCTAGTCAATTTTCTCTTTACGAAGTTCACCTGTAGGTCGGAGAGAAAAAAAAAGGATGCAAATTTATGCCGATGCATTCGTACGTGTACACCTGTCGTAGTCGTAGATTAAAGGAAAATGTCTGGCACTTCTTGAGAACTAGTAAGGATGCAAGGCCTCTCTCGTGATTGAGTAATAAAATTTGAAAAACATGATCATTTATGAATTTTCTTTTATTTGTAAATAAAACGAGTAAAAGAAATCATTCTCCTGCGTTTAAACTAAGATTGAAAGCATAATAAAACGTTCGTTTTGGTACAATTAATCTAACGGGGGTAAAACATTATTGACAGCTCAATACACAAAATTGATATTTGAATAAATCACGGCAAAAGATAACGTGCGCCATGTATCATCGGATTCCTTTTTCTTTAATATATATTTTGTAACTTTTCGCACAGAAAATAGTTTTATCTTTCTTTATATGTCTATTCATATATCTCTTTTTTAGGACAATATCTTACTTTAATTTACATTGTTTTTTTTATGTACATACAATATACTCATTCTTTTATACAATTATTTTTCATTGTGAAGTGCATGTTATAAGCTCATTTCGACTGCAGAGAACAAGGATCAGAATAAAGTTTCATTTAAAAATCTTACATATCATTAGCATATTGAATTGTACATTCAAATGTATGAAGCATGCAATTATTAGTTTCTATCGCATCAACAAGTGTATAATTAATCATTCAAGTACTTTTTTTCGCGTAGTTAAAAATAGTTAATTTTTCAAAGATTGAATTGTTAACAAAATTGTTATACTATAAACAAACATATCAATTGACACACTAAGATTAAAATTTTTAAAGGTATTTAGTGCTTTTATAACAATTGCAATTGCCCATGTTAATTTCCTTCGACTCACAAGTTTCGAGTATAAAAAAATATCCGACCACAAATATACATTACATATAAATAAAATATCTTTAAAAACACTAATCTTTGCTTCCTGAATGTTTTTAAATGCAACGATCTATTTAATTACCAATTAATGGAAAAAGTAAAATCATGCAGCTCAATTATATCAATATTTTGAAACTACTTCGTAACCGGTAATTAATAAGTCTTGACTATGGTTTGGAGAATAAAAGTATTCTTAAAATTATAAAAAAAATTCAATTGTTTATATAAATCTCATTTTGTTTTAAGCAGTCTTCATTAACAAAATCATTTTTCAAACTCGCTTCGCACTTCATGTTGTGAATAAAATGTATTTACGCTGATAGCGTGTTACATTGCGATCACAATCAACATAAGGCTTCACTTGTCACGACTACAGCAAAAAATATAAAATTGTTCATTAATATATAACATATGTTCATCAACGCTCAATTATTTTCATTTCTTGTATCGTTTTTTCTTAAAATTTCAAAAACAATTATTTAGGAGATTTTAGAGCCGATAAAATAGATTACTTATTGCAAAGCTGGTAAGAGCGATTTAAAGAATACGTTTATTTTCAATGATTCCAAAACGTATCGACTGGATTTTTTTCACCTATGTGTATATTAATTGTAATAAGGAATGCGATAAAAGATGAGCTTGACTTCATCTTGATTTTTTGTTATCATTCAACGTACACCTCACACATAGCAACGAAATTAATCTCGCTCCAACGAACAACATTTCACGTTGGTCTATATATATAATATATATTTAAATATATTAATCGTGATACTCTAAAACAAGTAACGATTGATGATAATTAGCTAAAAAGTTTCTGTTGTGATGCGTCGTTCTCAAAGGTGCTCCAGGCATTATTTAACTCCATAAACATTAGTTTTGCTAAATTTTCATTCTCCGTGCCAACTTGCTGAAATTTCGAAAAAATATTCGATGGTAAGAAATGAATGACAAATAAACCGAAATAAATATGTAAATGATACATACTTTATCTGGGTGTACAGCTAAACATGCTTTTCGGTAGGCTTTTTTCACGTCGGCCGGCGATACCAACATGTGCATCTCGCATTTTTGCCACTTGCAGCCGTCCCAACAGATCGAGTGCATCGAACAAAGTAATGCTCGAAGATTCCCTTTCTTGCCCTCGGTCCACTCGGCAACTTTGAGCGTTTCGGGATCCATAGTTTTAGCTGCCTCGACTTTGCGCATCTCGTTCATCGTTTTCGGTCCGTTGTTTTCGGCCTTCTTCGATGTGAAAAAATTGTAGCCTTGACTGCCTAGTAAATCTTCAAAAGCGTCACCGCTTTTCGGTGGTTTTTCGGATGACACGTTAGTTTGCGGCATCTCATACATGGGTGTGTGAGCCTGTTGCATTCGCGGGGTAGTCGCATGGATTGGGGTCCCTGAAAAATGACACGTTAGTATCGATCGATTTTTCACGTACAAATCACATTTTCATTGTCCTATTTTACCTCCGGTTGCTGGACTTTGAGATTGAGGCGTATTCGTTGTACCGTTCCAGCTGGAGGCCAAACCCGCTCCCATGGTACCGGCTAGATCTGCGAATGGATCGGGCTTTGGAGGTGGATTTTTGAAATTTGGTACGCTAGTATTACGTGGAAAGACATTTTCAGTGTTCAAAGTATTAGCTGCTGCCTTTGGTTCACCCCAATTGCCTGTAAAAAGATCGATCTTGTAGAAAGAAATAACGTTGTAGAAATCAAACAAAAAATTCATTAAACACCTAGATTACCTAATTTGCTGCTACCAGCGAATGGATCGAAAATATCTTTGGACTGCGAAGTATTCGTCGAACCAAAATTATTTTTGCTCTGACCAAACAACAGATCTCCATTCGTTTGACCGAACATCAAATCTGCCGCCGACTTGGCTTGATTTGCAGTCGGAGTATTCGGAGGCGGAGGCGCTTGAACGAACGAGCCGAAACCGCCCAATAAATCATCATTGACGGCGGCGGCGGGTTTGTTGTCGATCAGCGGAGCGGCTGATGGCGTCGCATCTTGGGCAAATATGTCGAATTCCGGCTTGATGTACGTTGGCGTCGGAGCCGGCGCTGGCGTTGCATCGGAGGACGGACCACCGCCTAAATTGAGAAGATCAGCTTCGACTTGCGGCGGAGGAAAGTCCGCAACCAAGGATGGCTTACGCGGCAATTGCGGTGGACGAGGTGGTGGCGTTGGTGACGAAGACGGCCGAACTAGCGGGGCGGCTTCCGGAGTTGGTTCCTTCGATTGCTATTGAAAACGTAATCATTTGATAAAATATTTGTAAGGAGTCGCGATTACAGTGACAAAATATATTCACGAACCCGCAAATGGTTGATTGATCCTTCGATTCTAAAGTTTTCCAAAGTCTCTTCCATCTCTAACGTGCTACCGAACAGTGGATCGGGAATTATGTGCTCGGTGGTGGCGTCCTCGGCCTCCCAGGGTGCCGGCACCCTGGCGAATTTAGCCGAATCTTCGCCGATCATCGCGTTGACCACGATGCGAAAGTGGCCGCCTATCTCGGGCGTGTCGTCCAAGTCCTTCTTCTCGAATATCAGGGTCGAGTCCTTGAGCGGCACGTAGCCCGTGTGGAAGTGAAAGGATGCCATTTTGATGCCGATCACGCGGCCCAGTTGCTGCCTCGCGTGATAGAGCACCATGCTGATGTCACCTCGTACCGCAGCGTCGCCTAGGATCAGGCACACTTTTCCCTCGTTCATACCGAACAGCTTCATCTCTTCGTACTCGTTGCGTTTGGTTGAAAAAACCTATGGAATCGAAAAATTTTATCATTTACTTGTGAAATTAGCTCCGGGAGTCTTGCGAGAATAAAATTTCATGAGCTTACCATTGCTCCATTACTGTAAATCTCAACGTATGGACGACAGCCATCCCTGGCTCTAGTGAAAAGAGGGACAGGTTGGACGAGCAATGATCTCAGTATTAGTGGCTTCATATGCGGTAACTTGTGGTTAGCCAACTGCGCCATGTACTCGATCATCTTAATTTCAGAAGGTTGAATTTGCGGCGGCTGGCAGCGACGCGTCGCAAAGAGATTCAGAGCTTCGTCGACGGTGTGCACGACTCCCGAGTAAAGCAGAAGCGAGCAAGCTACGACGGCGCTAGCTCTTAAGCCATCCTGAAAATTTTAAATGCAGAGTTTTATGACTTTGCCCATAATTTCTAATGTATTCAACATTTTTGACTTACATTGCAATAAAGGACGACGGTGTGGTGTACATCAACATCTAAAAACCTATGAATATCTTGACAAATTTGATAAATAGCGGAGAGCAGAGGTGCATTGGCCTCGCCCGACGTAAACGCGAACGAGCAATCTATGTGCTTGCCAATGAGCCTGGCCACGTTAGGTCGTCCCTTGGATAAATTATAAAATTGTATTTTCGTAGGCGGTGGATGACGAGCTTGCAAAAACGCACGGACGTCTTCCACGTGATTCGCACGGTAAGCCGACTCGATACCGTCGGCTGGATAAGGCATAACGAGGATGCGAGACGTGATGTAACTCGCGTCGAGTTCCGTGCGATTTATGCTTTGCTGCACGGTCTGCATGACTTTCGACGAGGTATCCTTGAGGTTTCGGAAAATACTGCCAGCCCCGCCTTTGATCGAACTGAACAAGCCTGTTTTAAATATATTTCTAATTATTTTTCCGTTTTTATTATTTACCCGGTATACGAAACAACTTAATTGAAAAAAATTACTATTTTTACCTGAGCCTGAAGATTGTTGGGGTTGTCCATACTGTCCTGGAGGCCCTGGCCTTGGAGGTCCTGGTCTTGGTGGTGGTTGCATAGAGTTATTACTTCCTGGTGGTGCTGGTCTAGGTGGTGGAACTGCAGCAGCATTGTGAGGTCCGGGTCTTGGTGGAATTACGGGTTGAGCAGGCTTAATTGGCTCAATGTTTGCAGCCTCACGTGGATCAAAACCATTCGATTCTGCTATTGCTGCTAAACGTTCTAAAATTGCTGAAGTAGTTAAGCGCTGCATGGGAGAAGTTTCTAAACATCCCTTGATCAAATCATTGAAACAAGCTAATGTTGGATTGTTTGGGATTGGAGTATATTTGCCATTGACTATAGCTAACTTGTTACCTAAAATTATAAAAAGGTCATAGCTAAGTAATATATTCTATCACTTATATCTCAATTTAAAATAAAACTTTATCATACCCTCTGGAAAAGGATGTCTTAAAGTTACTAGTGTATATATTACGCAGCCAAGAGCCCAACAATCCACTGGTGGACCAATTGGCTCATTACTCCATGTATCCATCATTTCTGGAGCTCTGTACATAGGTGTTGTATATTTGGCCAAGTGATCTTCAAGTTGTGCATGTTTTTGAGCGTTCCAGGAAGTATCTGGTAATATTTGTTGGAGGGTTGTACTTCCAAAATCACAAAGCTTAACCAAACCATCTTGTCCAATAAGAAAATTTTCTAACTTAATATCTCTATGTATAAAAGGCTGAGGTTGACTGTGCATATGGTGAACAGCTTTGGTGGCTTGATAAGCTATTCTACATATTTGAGCAACACTAAGCGAATTTACTGATACATTTCTCAAAATATCCGCTACAGTCCCTCCAGGGCATAATTCTGTCACTAATAAATATTCATCTCCTCTGGATCCACTTTTATTAACTTGCTGTACGCACAAAAATTGTATGATGTTTGGATGGTTCGTCAAAGCTTTCAAAGTTTCTATTTCTTGATGTATTGTTTTTTTGGCTTCTTCATCAACTGCTATCATCCGCTACAATGTACAAAATAGTATTATTAACATCATATCATTCCTATATATTTTACCATTGTGAAAAATGCAATCTTACTTTGAGAGCGTATTCTTTTCCAGTGGAAACATCTACCACAGCAAAAACTAAGGCCCATCCTCCTGTAAATTAAAAAATTATACAATGTAAAATATGAAACAGCTTTCTAAGAAAACACTCATCAGTGTTGCAAAAATGTTTGCTTTCTCAATTATGTAATAATATGCCGCACGCGGCGGCAGCTTTTGTTCTAAAACGAGCCAATCCTCGGTACAGAGCGGTCTTTTAAAAATCGAATTTCTCAATATTTAGTTTCTAGAAGCGAAAGAATGGCATGTGTGTATCTAACAGCCTTAGACGTCTGATATCATTAATAATTTAACCTTCGGAGAAATGAGCGAAAAAACCCGTCGATCAATCGACGTCGTGTAATGTACAACGTGCATTCAGCGACGACGACGACGACGCGCACGATCGATATAGGTATAAGTATAAAATCTGCCGATGCAGCGAGATGATAATTAATCCGATGAACATAATAATGTAAACTGTGTGTAATTGTGTGTGTGCGCTATATACATAGATATAAATGCAAACGGAGATGCATATATTTGTTGTATAAAGAAATGCAAGCCAATGTTTACATCACCGTTCTCCGTGCAGCAGCTTTCGCGCAGCCACGAGCAAAATCAATAAATTCGCGCGTAAGCACGTGCGTCCTATTCCTTCTGTATATAAAGTGTAATAACAGACCTTCGGAACGATAAAATTAACTTAGCTCCGAAAAGAAAAAACCGTGGCCGTATAAAAAGAGACGAGGAAAGATCTTTAACTCAATCGTTGCACCGAAGATGCACGCGCAGCAACAATTGATGCAAACAATGAGAGAGCTACACGACGGAGAGACAAGGAGCTGAACAACAATAATAGCTGCCTGCAACTACGATCGCAATGGTCTCAATCAACATCTAGATCATCGGAGTCGAACTGTCATTACGCTCAATAAAAAGCACATAGACATAAATGTCCTCATCATCATCTTGTCTCTCTCGAGCATCCTCCTCCTACACACAGAGACACGTATACGTATACAAAGGTAACGAGATATTATACATTGTGTCCAATATATTGTACTACGCTATACGGACGTGTTTATCGTTAATGCGCCAAAAAAACTTGACATATATTCGGTGAAAATAAACCTATATATCGATCCTAACTTCGAAGAAACTCATCATCGTTTCTCTGTATGTATATTCCTAAGTCGACGCTCGAGTGCCTGCTGTTTCTGCCTCTAAGCACCTCCGCGCTCGATCGCTCGAGCGTTTTTTTTGTATAATATACAGCAGCGTGGTGTGCGAGAGGCATGCATGCAGCACGCGCGCAGGTACAACCTATAGGCATACATAGGCTTTGTATATCATATAGATTTGAGAATAGAGAATCATAGAAAGAGAGTGTACAAAAAAAAAGTGAGGAGAAAAAAAGCAGGAGAAAGGGGCGGTACGAAGGTCACCATACTTTAATAGCAGGTGGGAGGCTGTGCGCGTTTGTGTATACGATATATAAAATATAACCGACTCCGAAGCACACAGCGTCGTCGTCGCGCTTGTTATACGCGCGACACGATGATAATGGGTTTTTCACAGCTCTATCTATCTATCTCTACTGCTACGCACGGTAGGAGGATCCGCAACGGTGCGTATGTGTGGGGAATAAAAACGGGATAAGCAATCGTCGTCGTACCTTCGGCGATCAATCGAGTGACTCTCAATTTGACGCCGTTGACGTCGAGATTCTGTCCGACCAATTCGCTGCCCGCCGACGATGTGGCCGTCGCCGTGTAGGCCGTCGTCGATGACGCATCGCCGCCGTTGGAGCCAGCCGGGCCACCGTTCAGGTAGCCAAAGGCTGATCTCAGATAATCTGACATCTCGCGTTACGTTGCTCTCACGCGTAACGACACATAAACACGCACACTTCACTGCACTGACAACGCGCACTGCAACGATTATTTCCGATAGCGACGATGCTTCTCTTGCTGCCACAATTCTTCGATAGTCGTGTACATGTGCACGGCTGCTTGCTGCAGGTTGTTGGTATGGTGCGAAGCAGGCCTCGTACGGCCGCACACTGCTCTTTCTTGTATGCGCTTTGAGTAGGCGACGACGACTATGATGATGATGCTCGACGTGCAATGCGATGCAAGTCGTGCGTGCTGCTCCGTGTGCGAACTCTGCTACGAAAATCAGGCTGCTATAAAGAGCATTGTAAAATAGCCAGGCTGCTATAGTACAACTACACGGTATATAAACTCCGTTTGCTGCTTGCTGCTGGCTGCTGCTGATATTGCTGTGCTGGCAGCGCCAAAAGTTTTTGCGCGAGCAATCGCGCGCAGATATTTGCAAAGAGTGAAAGAGTGAAAGAGAGAGAAAGAGAACTGAGCGCGAATTTTTGAAAGCTCAATTTCAAAATCAAACTTTATGTTACGCTACTAGATTCGATTTTGTTTAAATAACTTGTCGAAAGGAGCCTGCGTCATTAACACTCCGGAGTTGAAGATATTAATTGCAAAAAATTAATTGCAATTTTAAATCAAAAATACAATTTCATCGAGAATTCAGATGTTTCTGCAATCGGAGTTTTCGACTCGTAAAAAGACATTTAAAAAACTTCAAAAAGTTCAATTTTATAAAATAAAGTAATCTCGTCGATGCTCTTTAAATATGCACGTGTGGATTTAGCTTTGACTCGACATTGTTTTGGAGAAATTTACTTTCTATTTACGAATCCGACAGTCATACGGTAATGAATCTCCATCTAATAACATAGCGCTGCAATCGTCACAATGACGTTTCGAAGTCGTCTCGCCGTACGTGCATGGACTCCCATAACATAACACGCAGTCGGTGTTGGAGACGCGAGTGCCAAGTAATACAGCAACGAGGCTGCCGCTCGACACTTGGTATTCGATTGAGATAATCTACTCGTAAGTCCGTGAAAACCGAACGATGAAGCACGATAATCACTAAGGTATTTTTCTATATTTTTTATTCTATCGATAATAATAGTGGGATATGAAGACGTAACTATTTCTAAAAGTATTGAAACTTTTTAGGTTAGGTCACTGGTCTCCGGCTCTGTTTACAAGTGATTCGTCGTGACTGTCAAGCGCTGCGGTGGATCGGTTTTTAAATATCCGACTCCACGATTACAAGCCACCGAAACAAAACATTGAAAGTTAGTTACGTAGGATAGACCCGAGCGCAATCATGCAGCAGCCTCAGCAGCAGCCACCGCAACAGCAGCAACAGCAGACGCAGCAGCCGGCCAACTGCCTGCAGATGTTCTCCATGGAGTCCATGTACACGATCAAGGACCGTTCCCAGACCAAGTCTAACCTTCTCGACGACGGCGGCCACTCGGGCAGCGGCGGTATCTCGAACGACGACGACGGCGCCCTGTGCTCGCTGTCCTGCCGCAACCAGCTGGCGTTCACGCGCATCGTCGATATCGACAATGTCGGCGTCAAGAGCTGGGGCTATCACGTCTACGTGTGCGACATCAACTCGCCCTGGAACGCCCACAAGGTGCTCACCAACAAGAGCAAGATCTCGGCCCTCAAGTGGGATCTGACCGGCGAGAAGCTCGCCGTGAGCGATTACGACGGCCACGTGCAGCTCTGGACCTTCAAGGATTATCTGCGCAACGAGTGGATGCTCGTCGGCTCGCATCACTTCGCCGGCGAGCACATCATGGGCATGGTCTGGTTTCACAATGGCAAAAAGACCCAGCTGGTCAGCGAGAAAAAGGACAGTCCGCAGTACAGCGAAAAGTTCACCAATTCCCCTTACGCCCCATCGGTGAAGCAGTTTGGCGGCAGAGCTGCCCAGGGTGTTTTTGTGGTGTCGAACACGGGCATGCTCGGTGCAGTGCTGATAAATCAAGACGCGCCTCACGCTACTATTTGTGCTAGCGAGAGCATTGGAATTACTCGTCAAAGAATAACAGCTGTTGATATAAGCTACGCTAGGAATGGTCAGTTTCTAATAGCCATCAGCGGAGGTAGTGTTGCTCTGCCTATTAGATGTTACAGTGTATCTGTTAGAAAGATTGACGAACGATGTAGCATAACGTCGCAAGCTTTACCAAGTTTCTTTGTACAAGACAACGAAGCTCAGGGAAGTACACCAGTGATTACAAATTTAAAGTTTGTGTCGTCTGAAAAAGTTGATACATTAATTGTGGCAGCCAATAATATGGGCTGTGGATGGATTGAACTGTGGGAATTAAGTGAAAAAACACATACAGTGCACAAAAACTTTCAGGCCAAGACTTCTGATATTTTCAAAACAGTATTTTGGCAGCATCAAGCTACACATAGATGTAATCATGCAATTACAGCAATCACAACGACTAAATTACCTATTATACCATCTACAAGTTATATTTTAGTAGCTTTATCTGATTTGTCTATCCAGTGCTTTAGCAGTGACGGTTTGAAAGGCATTGCAGCTACATCTTTAAATAATCATAACTACTATAACGATCCTCTGCCAAAACGTCAGAAAAGTTCTTCTTCTATAGCTTGCATTGACATGTCTTGGCTAGGATGTGCATTTGCAATTATCAATACCAGTGGAACAATTCATTTGTATAAGTTATTCCCTGAAATAACACAGATGACATTGAATCATGCTTGTACTCTATTGGAGTATTCCATGATTACAGGTATTGATTGGCTAGATCTTATATTATGCATAAAAACAGGTATTGAAAGTTTAGCTGACCGTTTTGAAGCTTCTTTTAATCGACAACCAATTCAAGTGCAGCAGTATTATTATCTTCAGTTCTTGTGTATTAAAAGTTCTCTTTACAGAATGCTAACAAATGGTCAAGGTAAAGCAGCAGATCTTTCTGCTTTAAATATGGTACATTCAGTGGCAACCGCTTTTAAATCATTGTTGAGGCCTTCAGATAGTTTTCATGACAAATTTCCATCGGAGCGTTTAACTTCTGTATTAACAGAAAATATCATAAGTGATGTTGATAAAGTATTGCTGCACATAGAACCCAAAGAATTTACAGTCGAACCTACAACCTTACAATCATTGCAGCAACTTATGCAGTGGGTTGCAGATCTAGCATTGAATTTATTAGTACGCATTCCAGAGCAAAGAATGCAACTAAAATCGAGTGGTTATGAATTATTGAAAGATCATAAAGCTTTGAATATACTTCGTGAGTTATTAGTTATCATTAGAATATGGGGGCTGCTAAGGAAATCTTGTCTTCCCACGTATTCTAGAAGTGCTGATAACATAGATGTTTTAGGATTATTGTTCCAACATTTGTCAAAACTAGTGCAACTAGGAAATGAAAACCAATCAATTGATGATCAATTGATTGACGATTGTTGTCTTTTGCCTAATCAAATAATGATTCCTATGGTGTGTCCAGTGTACAGTATGACAGCAGTTGCTACGCCACACTTTTTCTTCCAGAATTTGCCACTTCAACTAGAATTTGGTGTAAAACCAGACTTGAATTTTGTACCAGAACTAAATCACATAGAAGGTTGTATGAGATACAATCAAGTTGTTGACGTTGTGAAACATATTTATTTAGGAAAAAAACCTTCTACGGTCAAACAATGTACAAGGTGCAGAGGTAAATCTCAAGCTAAAATTACAACGCGAACTGCTGCAATAAAAGCTTGGGAGCAAAGATGGTTAAGAAAGTGCCCGTGTGGTGGTAGCTGGGAAATTTACACAGAAAATCAATAATTTACTATTTTTTCATTTTTTTCTTTTCAACATGAAGTCTACCCACTTGTAAATAAATTATCATTAAGATATAATTGTTAAGGTTTTACAGATTAAAATTGTACAAATGTGAATTGTGCATGTATTAGCTACTTGTATTATATTGTATACACTCACTCAAGTGAGATAGCGAATAAAAATGAAATCAATTTATTATCATAAATTTGAGTAAGAACATTATTTACAGTACCGATGCATCTTTCATCGATCGAACTTGGCAAAGTTTCGAAATTTTGCGCCATCCAATTCTGCCACCCTATCCGTGCAGAAACTCGCCGCTTACGCAGTCGTGAGTCTACCCGACCTCCTGAATGGTGGCAGCTCGCGCAAATATTGCCTACATTATCGCGAAATCTGATATGGAAAAGAGACAAGTTCGCAGTTACTTGCATGTCGTCTGCCTGACCACCACAGTGGCTTGTTATTGTTATATTTCACGACTATTTCAGTATTTTCAGATCTTTTGTAACGTGCCGTGATATCGAGTTATTAGAAGAGCAAGCAGCGGTATACATTTTTTGCACAGTCTAGAACGCAATCCAAGTCTCATCGCTACAATTTTAAATCCATGTATTTTTCTTGTAGTTTTCCGAGCACCATAAACAATAACAGCTGCAAACCCACATAAAGTATAGAAGAACATGACTCAACTACCGATGGGCATTTTCCTCGGCTGCGGAGGAATCTGTCACAGATCATTGTTATTTCTGTTGCAATTCGCGTGGAATTCCAAATTCAGGCTTCCAGCTATAATCGTGGTAGGTCTAGTAGCTATGGACATAAGAATGCAACTTCAAATTGAGCTGGAATATACTCCCTAGGTTAGAAGTCATTGTAATTTTAGTCCTTGTAAATTTAACTGACTGACAGATAATAACCGACACAAGTGCAATATAATTAGAATCTCAAAAGAAATTTTGAATTGAATTTCTGAACTTTGGGTGTTTAACGAGGTAGGAGTATTTGCCTTTCTTGAAAAAGCATATACTTTTGATGTGAAAATCATGAAAATTTCAACGCATGAATTATCTGTCTAAGAGAATGATGAAAGATCATTGGTATTTTGAACTAATTACCTAGGTATTATGACAAGCGTATTATGTCAATTGAGTGTTAAAATTCCATGCAAAAGACTGTGAGATTGTAAATTTAAAAGACTATTAACTGAAACACTTCAGAGAAACATTATATCATTATTCTTGATTGAATGTTGTAATGAATTTTTTCGTAATTCTTAATCAAAATTATTGTATAAACGTCATATCCAAGTGTTTCAAATGTATAATTATATTTGTTGTGGCAGACATATATTAGTATAAAATTAATATTGCTTAATGTTAAAGACATATTTTTATAAAACAAGAGGTACGATAATATATAACTACTACTGTGATTTATAATTTCTTGTTAATCATAAGACATAATGCTATATATATAATAGATATTATTAAGATATTATATTTCACTATATGTGTAACTATGGTTGATGATATGAAAATCTTATGATATATTATTTATATAACTGAGTAGTATTAACATAGCATCATATTATGTCTTAAATGTATTAATTTACATTTTAAATAAAACATTTTATACAACAATACAAAATCAATTTTTTCGATTTACTTTTCATCTCTTCCCGCACACGACTCGTATAACATACGAAACTTAACGACGAACGCATCGATGAATTATCATCAATGAATCATGGGGAAAACGAATTCAAAAATAAAGCCATGTTCATTGTCATATCTTATTTTTAGACATACGTTTTGTCTAGCCGAAAGTGTTTTTTGGTTTAGGGATATTCCGCTGGATTCGATTTCTCCGATTTTTTCATTCGCTGCAAGTGACTATATTCATGCGTGTTTGGAATTGTGCACTGTGCAGTGACGTCTAACTCCTACTGTCACTTGCTACTGCTATCTGCTTCGTGTTATGTTTACTTTGGAAAACACATAAACGTTGAAATTGTTGCTCCAATTCGTTGTATTGTGGAAATAATTAAAAATAAGTGTTGCAGTTTACTTATTTGCTGAAATAACTGCTGAAAGATCGCATGATAAGAGCTAAAAGTGTAAAATAGGTTATATTTATCAGTTTTTTAAACACAACAAAGATTCCAAGGGGTCGAAAATTCTAAAAATTCATTTATAATGTCGGAAGATGATCAAACTGTCAAGTTTGCCAAGCTTAGATGTGCTCCAGAGCCTAGTTTTTGGGCTAAATTTGCCGAACTTAAAATTGATAAATTTAAATTAGATGAAAATATTAAAATTCCTTTGTGGGGAAGCTATAATTTAGAAGAAACTGGACATGATCAACCATTGTTTTTGGATTACACGTCATTCAATGAGTAATTATTCACAAAAAATTTATTTTGTAGATTTACATTGGGTTTCAATTTTGTTACATCAATCACCATTTTTCATTTTAGCGATCTAGAAACTACAACTCATAAATCCTCTATATCATGTCGTGGTTACATGATAAATACCAATACTCTGGAGAGTTACAAGAGTATTGATATGAAGAATTTCTTGAAAACTAATAGTGAAGACTTACTCAACTCAATGAAAGATGGAAATGCTGTGGATGATCCATCAAAACTTATGATATTTTTGCTGCTATGTTTTTCTGACTTGAAGAAGTATAAGTTTTACTATTGGGCAGCACATCCTGCTCCCTTTGACTTACCTGAAATGCATTATGCTGAACCACATGTGACTTTATTGACAAAGTTTCCACAAAGTCAACTGGATAATTTCAAAGATGGCCTTAGGAATTTAAGTGCTGATTCAAAAGGTTTTTTTTCTGTGATAATTGAAGATTCAAATATTTTAAAAGTAAAGAAATTATCCGATGCAATTGCACTTGCTTCTAAAAAAGATGAAAAAGTAATATCAGTATTTCACTTATGATAATTTTTAATTATAAATAATTTATTTATTATAAATTTTCCTTTTAGATTACAGAGAATATTTATTATGCATTTTATGATCCATGTTCATCTGCTGCTCCAGGATGGCCTTTAAGAAATTTATTATCTTTATTATTTATACAATGTCCATATTTAAACTACCAGAAAGGAGTCAAATTTATCTCAGTAAGAGGCTTTAGTGGTAAAGATTCTGTAATTTTTACAATAAAAACCAAAGATCCAGTGGAACAATGTGCATCAAAAATATTAGATGGAAATTTAGTCGGTTGGGAAACAAATGTTAGAGGAAAAATGGGCCCAAACATAGCTGATTTATCGGAGTCCATGAATCCTTCGAAGTAATTTTAAATTTAGATTTGAATTTTTAGTTTTACGTAATATAATTATCATTTCTATATTCAAAAATTAATTTGATTCTTTTCAGATTATTTGACAGAGCAGTTAGCTTGAATTTAAAACTCATGAAATGGAGATTAGTACCTGATTTAGATTTAGATTGTATTAGTAATTTAAGGTGTCTATTATTAGGAGCAGGAACATTAGGATGCAGCGTATCCAGAATATTACTTGGATGGGGAGTTCAGAATATTACATTCGTAGATAACTCAGTAGTATCACTAAGTAACACAGTAAGGCAGAGTCTTTATACTTATGAAGATGCCATGAATAGGCTACCCAAAGTCGAGGCTGCCACAAATGCCCTACTCAGAATTAATCCAAATTTGGTAGGAGTACAAATCAATAAATAAGAATTCTCGTGAAAAATGCAAATTTTAAAACATCAATCATCACTCTTTGCAGAAAGTAGAGGGTGTGAATTTGCAAATACCCATGCCGGGTCACGTAGTCGGGGCCAGTCTCCTCGAGCCGACCAAGCAAGCCATCGCCAAGCTTGAGGAATTGTACACGAGGCACGACGTCGTCTTCCTGCTGCTGGATTCGCGCGAGGCTCGATGGCTACCCACCGTCATGTGTGCTTCCTACGGCTTGGTGGCCATCAATGCCGCTCTGGGCTTCGACTCGTACACCGTGCAGAGACACGGCACCAGACACGAAGCCACTTCGGGCGAACGCAACGAATCTCCTGGCGTAGGCGTCAAAGCACCCGAGGGCAAAGATTTGGGTTGTTACTTTTGCAACGACGTCACGCAACCTGGCAATGTGAGCTTTCGATAATCAAAAAATGTTTTCCATCCAAAAAATGATTTTAATAATAATTGTAATATTGCGTCCGCAGTCACAAGCCGATAGAACTTTGGATCAGCAGTGCACAGTCAGTCGGCCAGGACTGTCCAATGTGGCCGGTGGCTTAGCAGTAGAGCTCATGATCGCCCTCATGCAACACAAGGACAGGTAATGAAGCACGAGCTTTCATTGTATCGAATAAAAAGAAAAATCCATTTGACGTTAAATTAACTTCGCAGAGCCGAAGCTCGTCCTCTACTCGGCGAAGCAGCCAGAGCTTACAACAGCTCGCCGGATCCCGAGTCTCTGGGCCTGCTTGGCGGCGTGCCACACACGATACGCGGCTCTCTGTCGACTTACGAGACGATGCTCACGGTGACTCATCGTTTCGCCTCATGCACCGCCTGTTCGGCGCCGGTGCTGGCCGAGTACAAGGCGCGCAAGGGCGACTTCGTGCTCGACGCCTGCAACCAGCCGAATTATCTGGAAAAGCTCAGCGGTCTGAACGAGCTGTTTAGGCCGGATCTGGACGAGGTACGAGCCATTGGTTTTTGTCTCGGGAATCGTATTCTCTTTCGATTAATTCTCATTAAATTTTGGTTTGTTTTCAGTTATGCTGTGCTCTCGACAGCGACGACGAGGACTGAGGAGATCAACTGCTGAATTCTAAGAAAGTGCATTTTGATGAACTGTAATAATCGTGGTGGTTTGGATTGTTTTCAATCAGTATTTTTATTAATTTCGATAATTTAATTTTGTTATGCGACACATATAGAATTGTACCCAACGTTGATTAATTCATCAGGATTTTAGTCGTTTTATAGATCATTTTTATTTTATCGGACCAAACGGTGTAAAAGCTCTGCGAAGCTTCTCTGAAGTCAAGCTGTAGCGTCGCTTCGTAATAATGTATTTGGAATATATTCCACGAAGAATGAATAAACAAAGTCTTATTAAAACGTTAAATGCCAAGAGAGAATCTGTAAGTAAATTTTTTCATTGAATTTCTATTTCGTTGTTACGATTCGTACACACGAATTGCATTTATGGTACACCTATCACGATAGTCAGTATCGTATGCGCAGTCGAGCGAGCAGCGACAGTCGAGGAGGGTCAGAGATTCAGAGGAACGAAACGTACACATATACATATAAATAATGCATTGCAATTTTGCCAGCAGATAGCGCGCGTCAACTCCTTTCCACCGCTGCACGAGCGAGCGAGCGAATAAACTATATATCTGCCGCGAATGTGTATAAAATATATACCTATGTAGACACACTCACGTACTGCATACCATTGCTCTATCTGTCCGCCGTTGCTGTCTTTTTCTCGCTTTCGCGTCGCGTACATCATGCAGTAGTATAACGTAAAGCTGCTTCTCCACCGAAGTAAAGCTCTCTACCATTTTTCACCGAAGTTGAGTTTACTTTATCTAATTGACAACTTTCGAGGAGAGGTAAAGAAAAATTTAAAAAAGGAAACTTTTTCGTGCTTTTCACCTATCAACGAGGTAAGCAATTAAACAAAACTTTTGCATGCAATAATCGTTGCCGGAGACACACAGAGTGTATATAAGTAGCGGCAGTCGCACGCGCGTGCTTGCATTCGCGTGTGTTGGTGTCTCCGTGTATATACATCGGAAAATCCATAAGAACGCGCGCGGGCCGCGGCGCGCAGTATCATCGGTGGAATTCGCGTATATATAGCGCATGAGGCCGCGAGCCGCTGCAGAGAGTACACGAGCAGCTGCGCGCGCTTCGCGGTGGTGGTAAGTCGCGTTGCTCTATAGTAGTAGTAGTGGTGGTGGTGGTGGTGCCTGGTGGTGTGGTGGTGGTGGAGCGAGGCGCACGAATACTCACATGCCGCATGCGGCATAGCAGCAGCATACGATGAGAAGGGAGAGAATAGCAGCAGTGGCTCGACTCTCTCATACACTACTATACGCTGCTGTGTGCTTGTGCGCCTAAAGATTTTTGTATATGTGTGTTTCGATGCGAATACATACTGTCAGTGCGTAGCCGCACATCGTACACGACAGTTCGCGCGATCATCGGAGCCGGCGAAATTTTTTTGTTCATAATAAAACGAATGTAACAGCGTTACGACGACAATTATAAATTTTTGTTGTAATATAAAAGATTGTGCGGAATCGACGTCGATAGTCATCGCGAGATTATTTCGCTCTAAGAGTGCTGTCGCGCGATTGCTCCGTTCTTTATTTTCTCGCAATAGTACGTGACGTTATTTTGTTTATCTTTTTCTATTACCGCATCGAGTAATAAAAGAAAAGTGTGTGGAGTTTTTGAGATAGTGTTGTTCTACGACATCGCGATCGCTACGACTTTTCGTCCACCGAATTCCCGAGAGATAGAGAGCAAGCGAGAGAATTTTTCCATCGATCGGAAAAATTTCCACACAGAAGACAGGTACTTAAAAATGCTTTGTTATTTTTTTTCTCACATTTGGCATGTATAACGACAAGTTCTCGATCGACGATCATTATCCAATAACAATAACCGTGTGTCCCAATCCCCCGCGTCGCATCATCGCGTCAATTATTTATCCGCGCCACGAATAGTTTGTTGGCTTTTATAATAGAGCCAACGGAATAGTTGAGAGTTGAATTCCTCCGAACGTGGAATGCGATTTTACGTTACGTATATCTATATCTATACACTCAGTCACTCGCTGTTGGTGTGTATATACACGGTACAGTTTGTGTGAGTGAGCGAGTATATGTATACACAGCGGAGCAGAAACTCCTCCGCTTACTCTTGGTGTAGATAGAGTATATGCCTGGCTGCTGCTGCTCAGTGCCTCGGCCGGAGTTAGGCGTGCATGAGGCTGCTGCGAGCTGCGCGCCACCCCCTTTTTTCACGCGAAACTCCGTACGTGTATATATACTGTATATGCATGCACGTATACGTATGTATGTGTTGTATAGCGGCAGCAGCAGCAGCAGCTCACCGCATTCCGACGAGGAGTAGCGCAACCGTCGTTGGACGTCTTCGTCGTCGTCTGCCCCACGTCGTTGAGTATCGATTCCTATAATAATACTCTCGTGTATTCGTGTTTGCGTGCATGTGTGAGTATGCGAATTTATGCAAGCATATATGTTCTAAATATATGGACTATATCACGTTAACTATGATGCAATTAAAAAAATGTTAAAAGCAAGTATGTACTCTTGAAGAATGCATCACAAAATGAATGACAAAAAAATTTGGGCCCTCCAGATGTATTTTTCATGTATCCAGTTTCAATTCGCAATTTCTAAATCTTACTGTGCACTCGCACGCGGTCACACCCTAAAAAAAAAAGACCTAAGGGGGTGCAAGGCTAGACGTAGAAACTTCTATGGGGATGTTCCTAGACGTGCTCCGTAAAAGTACGGTGTATACTTCGTGCGCACCATTTTCGGAGTCGCGCTTCGCGCGGTGCAGCCCATATAGATACACACATTGTGTGCGTATATTACGTAGTAGCAGTATACGAATGTGCCTCAGGGGTGGAATTTTTGCGCGCACGATTGGGGGGGAAAGACCGTTTCGATTTGGGGTGGTGATATAATAAACCATACTGCTACTGACACTGCTGCTGTTACATTCGTATATAAGAGAACGAAGGGATTACAATACTTTATGCACGTGCGTATGCGTATCGATGAATAATACAATTCTTTTTTATCGTTCTCAAAATTCATACATATCTTCGCAGTGGATCTCGTGCCTCGTTGTCTTTTTTTGTTGTTGCTGGTCTTCATTAAACTCGGTTGCTGCATCGTACGCAACGATCGCGTTATCTCGATGTTAAAATGCGCCTCATCATATACGTATATTGTACACTGCACGGAATATATATAGTCTCTCAGTCAAGCTCGTCGTCGTCGCTGCTGCTCGCTCTTGAGAGCTTTATGTCATGTGCAGTGTGCACACTGCGAAGAGAGCTTGGCGCATTATCTGCTGCGCGATCGAGTCTTTCTCTCAAAAAAACTTGTGCGACGCCGCGCGCATGTGTGTGTAAAGAGAGAGAGAGAATATAGTTCGCCGCGAGATCGGTCCCGCGACGCAGTATAACGTAAATATAGAAGCTTGTGTGTGTGTGTGAGGAATTTTTGCGTTCCTTTATACATACGCGATACTGCATGTATATTATAAAATAAAATATCCAGAGCTGCTCGTCGCTCGAGTCTATTGTAGCGTCTTTATACGCATTCCTATCTCTCGACGTGTATTCGGCGCTCGCGTACAATAATTATTGAGATTTTCCATTCGCGATTTCGTGAATGTAAAATGTATCTCATATACCTCCTCCTCCATCTCCTCCTACTTCTTATGTATAGCTGCCGCGCCAGCCGAGTGTATAACGCAGCGTGTTTTTAATACGATTATTAAAGCCGAAGTATCATTATTGTGTCGTTATTGTGGCACGCGAAAAATGTGCCGCGCGCGCCAACGACGACGGCTGTGCTCTCGCGCTCCTTTTATATATTATTATATACGCCCAACACAACACAACACAACACACAAGCACAACGACTCACAGTCGAAGAATGTTATTTTTCGGCGGCGCGCACACGAGGCTTTCCTTTTCCTTTCTTTCTTCCGTCTCTCTCTCTCGCGCGCGCGCGCGCGCGCTTATACATGCTCGATGGCTCTCCTTTTAAAACTCCGTATACAGTACATACGTATTTGCAAACCCCCGCAATCTGCTACTGCATACCTACCGAGTCGTCAAGCCGATCTCCTTTCCCACACGCGCGCGAGCTTACGGTTGTCGTTCTTCATCTCTCGCTGCATATTTTTATACACACATACGCGTGTAAACACAAAAATGGGGATTAGGAAAAAATGCGGCGCGTGGGTGGATGTGTGCGTGTTTGTGTGTGTTTGCGAGCGCAGGCGGTCTTTATATGTATTAAGCACCTTTTTTCGACGTTCCGCCTGTGCCACTGACAGCAGCAGATGCTCGGCTCGCTCTTTCTCTTCTCTTTCGTTTCATTTTTTTTTTTTTTTTCATTCGACTGCCTTATTAGAATTTTACCAGAGAGATGGAATGCAGCAGCCACTTCGTCGACGATCTCGAGCATCGGACAAATTTCGTTCGTATACGCTCGCGATGTATCGAGACTTTTTCAAGGATAAGATACGTCAATTGCGCAATGCGCCGACGTCGTTTGCTGCGGCCGCAAGTGCGCCAATACAAACGATATCGAAATTTATATTCGACTCGACTACAATTTTCGTATGTATGTGTGCGCCCCGCATTCAGATGCCGAGAAATCCACGCCATATTTCGGAAATCGTCGCTCTCGTTGTTGTTGTCTTTTTTCTCCCTCGATTTCGCTGCGTAATGTAATTTGAGGAAATTCGATATCGAAAGAAATAGAAAGGCCGGTACATGAGCTTTTTTTTATATATTAATGCGTGTATCGGAATGCCGATGATAATAGCCCGTGTGCGCGAGCACGAGTCAAATATTTACTCGCTTATAATGAAGGAATTCTTTGGATTTTTCTACTATATATAATCTTTTTCTCGCTCTCTTCTCTTTTACCTCGAAGAATTCAGATAAACACGAGTTGAAAAATATAAAAAGAAAGAAAAAGAAGTAGTAACATGAAGAAAGATTTTTGCATATAGACAATACACGTGGTTTTACAATAGATACATCGTTGTTTATTATTTAAAAAAAAACACATTACAAACTTTTCTTTTAATAACCCGCACGGATTCCGGGAAGCCTCGCGTGTGTCTGTGTTATTGTTTTGCAGAAATGCGCAGATTCGATTTTGGATTTTATATTTTATATATGCGTTAAAAAACTGACAGCTGTTGTTGCTGCTGCTGCTGGGGCGCGTTTATTTAGTTTCTCTGCGCGCGCAATGATCGCTTCTATTGCGTCGGTCTAGAGATTTTTTTTTCTTTCTCTTTCTCTCAATCCATTAAAAGAATGTTATACACGAACAACACGGGCGTAAATCAATCTCCCATAAAAACAGATAGAAATACATAATTTTAAGTTTTGTTTCAAAAAGCTCCCGACCCGTCGAAAGTGTACGCGTATTATTACACAATTCGTAACATAATTTTGTTCTTGCTCGTAATTTACTCTCGGCGCACGCGGCCATAAGTACTTACGCGCGCGTTATATTACACGCTGTGCACACACTCGGATACATGCGGAGGAACGTAATCGTTTAAATGTCTCATCGACGTAGTTGTATCATTTTGTTTGCTTACATATTTGCGAGAAACGGAATGCCGCACACCGTCGCGTTAGTTATATACATATATACGTAGTACACTATCCTATATACATATCTGTACGCAGCGCAGCACAGCACAGCGTGCGAAGCGTTTAAACAACCGCCGACCTCGTGTTATTGACCCATATTATATCGAAAGAAAAAGTAGACGAAGAAGAAATAAATATTAAACGTTGAGTCCTAAAAAAATATTCCAAAATGATTTACTGCTGCTCTAATCGGTGCGTCCTAAAATTTTCGTATGAAACCCATTGCGTCTGGTGCGATACGTTAACCGAACGGGGATCATCATCGTCTCATTATCAGTCAGTCTGTGACTGACTCTCGCGGTCGATTAAGTATTACAAGCTGTCTCGACATTTTTCTGCTCTCTGTGTTCTCCGCGAGATTATTATTCATTCAATATTCTCGCGAACACGGGTAAACATTGTTCGTAAATTATCCGATCGTTCGATCGTTATTATTTTTTCTTTTTAATAAATATATATGCGCATTACGCGTTAAAGCTCATTTACGTTTCAGCTAATTTATGTGATTCACGTGAAAAAATTCCAGCTGCTCGCGCGAAAAATACCATATTTTTTTTTCGATATTCAGCAGATATATGTGTCTCGCGTTTGACGTAAGGCTCGAATTTTTTTAATGCGTACACATACGCACACGTGCACATAGACAGACAGACCGGCCAAGAGGCGTACGATAAAAGCTCTCTGCGCGAATCACGAGCGAAAATCAACAAGTCGTAAAAATGTCCATCGTCCGACTCGATTTCGTTCCAAATCCACATCTCTCTCTCTGTTTACGTGTAAATCCGTGCGCCTGTGTGTTTACCCCTTTTCGAAATGCCCGATCGATTATTCCACTTTTTGTGTATAATATAAATCAGGGAAAAATTTCATCGTGACTCGTTTTTTTTTCTTCTCCCGCTCCTCTCGTTTTGCATATTGTTAACGCACATTCATCTATATGAGCAGTTCTTTAAATGAAACGCATTTTTGGAGTTAGAATCGCGGCAAATTTTTTTTTCAACCTACGCGGATACGAACCCCCGGGAAATGTTTTTGGGAGTCCTAGGAACATGTAACCACGTAGGAACCATTGAAATTTCAATAGTGCTTACTTTTATAGCTACTTTTGTGATTTAGGGCCGAAAAATCATGTTTTCTCGTAAATACGGCTAATTACTCAATTTCTAAGTCGCTGAAAAAGTATCAAAACTCATCTAAAAAAATAACTGACTGCTGTGTTCAATAGGAAATTTTCTCAGCTTTCCAATGGTGGTGTCAGATTTTCCGATAAGTCGCACATTCACCGAGAAAATCGCCATCAAACATGCCAAGCTAAATATTTCGAAAAACTCGTTACGGAAAAAGTGATCGTTGAGGTTTACTTTTGATTTTTCCTTGTGAAAATGAAATATATTGGAAAATCTGACTGCACCAAGAGAAAGCTGAGGAAATTTTCTATCGAAAACATATCTTCATTTATTTTTTCAGTGGAATTACGAGCTAGTTTTGATATTAGCGAGCCGAAAACCTCGCAACCGCGCTGAATCAGCTCGGAAACAGAAAACAGCGAAAAAAGTAAAAGAAATTCCCATGTATAACATTGTAATTCGACTCAAAAAATAAATGAAGATATTCTTTCGATAGGAAATTTCCTCAGCTTTCTCATGGTGCAGTCAGATTTTCCGAAAAATCTCATTTCCAACAGAAAAAATCAAAAATAGGCATCAAAGATCACTTTTTCCGTACCTAGTTTTTCGAGATATTTAGCTTGGCATGTTTGATGGCGATTTTCTCGGTGAATGTGCGACTTATCGGAAAATCTGACACCACCATGGGAAAGCTGAGAAAATTTCCTATTGAACACAGCAGTCAGTTATTTTTTTTAGATGAGTTTTGATACTTTTTCAGCGACTTAGAAATTGAGTAATTTGCCGTATTTACGAGAAAACATGATTTTTCGGCCCTAAATCACAAAAGTAGCTATAAAAGTAAGCACTATTGAAATTTCAATGGTTCCTACGTGGTTACATGTTCCTAGGACCCCCAAAAACATTTCCCGGGGGTCCGTATCCGCGTAGGTTGAAAAAAAAATTTGCCGCGATTCTACCTCCAAAAATGCGTTTTATTTAAAGAATTGCTCATATATCTACCCCGGCGCTCGTGCGTAAATATTATATTTGAATTCGTGTTTGAAAGGTGATTAAAGGGTTTTCACAGTCATGACCAAATTAATAACAGTTTGAAAAGCTTTATTCTTCATGAGAAAGGTTGTCTAAAATAACGTAGTGTTATAACCCGTTTGATTACAAAATTCTTCATTGCGTTCAAATGTTTTCAATAAATTCCATAATTCTAAGGTTGGCTTTGATTATGTACTTTCATAGTGTGCCTTTTGAGTATATTCTTTTATTCAAATGATTTGTGACACAAGTTGAATTCAAAGGGTTTGTTCCGTTTATGAACTGCTTTTATGTTCGATTTGAGTAAATTCAGGTATCCAAATGATTTGTGACAATATCATGTACCAAACTGATGTGAAATTCGAGTGTACTTTTTTGTCCAATAACTTGTGGCAAATATCATATTCAAAGGGTTTGTTATGATTATGTACTACATTTATGTGATATTTAAGAGTCTCTGATATCCAAATGATTTGTGGCGAATATCACACTCGAAAATTTGCTCCGACTATGTACCACACTTACTAATGTGTCGCTTGAGGTTACTTTTTCGTCCAAATGATTTTTGACAAAAAGTACACTCGAAAAGTTTGCTCCGAGTATGTACCACACTTACGTGCTGCTTGAGGTCACTTTTTCGTCCAAATGATTTTTGACAAATATCACATTCGAAGGGTTTGCTCCGAACATGTACTTCATTTTTGTGACGATTGAGGGCAGTTTTTCGTCCAAATGATTTTTGACAAATATCACACTCAAAGGGTTTACTTTGATCATGTACCACACTTATGTGTCGCTTGAGGTCACCTTTTTGTCCATATGACTTGTGACATTGACCACATTCAAAGGGTTTGCTCCGACCATGAACTGTATTCATGTGACTTTTAAGATTACCCTTGTATCCAAATGATTTGTAACAAATTTCACACTCGTGTGATTTGTTACCATTATGTACTGAATCAATGTGAATATCGACGTAAGTCTTGGATGAAAATGATTTTTGACAAATATCACACTCGAAAAGTTTGCTGTGATTATGTACTAAATGTATGTGTCTATTGAAGTTACTCTTTTCTCCAAACGATTTGTGACAAATCTCACACTCAAAAGGTTTGCTCCGATTATGTACTGTACTTATGTGACGTTTGAGCGTTACCTTGCGACCATATGATTGGTGGCAAATGTCACATTCAAAGGGCTTGATACCATTATGTACTGAATTTATGTGAACATTGAGATGACCTTTTTGTCTAAATGGTCTTTGACAAATTTCACACTGGAAGGGTCTCTTATTATGTCCTTGCTTCATGTGCTGTTTAAGATTACTCGGGTATACAAATGATTTGTGACGAATTTCACATTCAGATGGTCCAACGCCTTTGTATGTCGCTTTTATTTGTCTTGTCAAACTCGCTTTTTCTCGCGTGTTAAACCGACGGTTATTATCGTAATTGAATCCTTTTTTAATTAAAATAATTAGCCTTTCTTGGTTCAAGTCATTTGTTGGAATTTCTATTTTTGCAGTAGGTTGGCAGATGGTCGTCAATGAGGGCTTACGTTCAAGTTTTACATTTTGGCACTCGAAATCGATCAGAATATTCTTCTCCTGTAACGGCGTAGAGTCATTAAAATTTTGTTATAGTTTTTTGCTGATAGAAATCCGAACATAATTCGAAAAATAGAGCTCACCGACGATTCATTCAACGACGATTCATCAGATTTTTCGGTTTTCACTGAGACCCGCGGATCGACACACTCGTTGACTACATCTTCACAATTGTCATGCGGCTCCTCTTTAACACTATAGAAAAGCGATTGTTTAAAAATATATCGAGGGCATGCATAAAATATTGTATACCTAATTGAATATTTTCTGCTTTCCATCGCTCGTCTTGTTACAATAATTTACCGGGAAATTATTCAAAGTTAGGTGCCTCGAGTAGCCAACACCGTACCTGATTTTCACCAATAGACTTGTACGGATATTATTTGTAAACACGTGCTTACGGCGGAAATTGATGAATAGCGACTGAGCTTATAGAGTTTTGAACAACGATGAGTAGGCACTGACATGTCATTAATATTATACCGAGATCGTAAGGAAAATATCATTCATTCAGGCGCACAATTATCTTACACGTACGTACGATATGTGCGGAGAAACAATCACACAATAAGTATCTTCCGGTTAAATAGCCACGAAAATCCGAGAGCATTTAAAAAACATCGATTATTAACTCATGTGCCGTTTTCGCGATAATTTCCATACGCATCAGAAATTGTCGTATCCGTTTCAGACACTATGTTCATGACAAATAATGAACCAATTGTAATTCCGGCAAAGTATTATCTTTCCTAGGGACATAGATAAATTTTTTATACGCAGAGATCTCGTGGCTGACATGAAAACGACTATTTTAAACATAACAACAAAACGGTACTTGAGTCAATTATCGATTTTGAAAAGAAATTTTTCGGTAAATCGAAAATTCTGAGAGTGAACGTATTCGCCGAGATGTCTTGGCTGACTTATGATCAACAAAAAATCGAAAAAAAAAAACGTGTTTTGATGGTAAAAAATGTTGGGAGGCTCTGTTTATTTATCCAATACACCAAATAGGCTAAAAATTTTGCATGGGTTCATGATTTTCGATACTCTATCGAATGATACCTATCTGGTAGCTCTCCGAATACCAGAAGTACCCTGACTCGAACTAGCTTTTTTCATTTCTTTCGTGCAGATGTATAGAATAGGTGCTCTGCCCCTAGCCAAAATTCTCAGCTTAATATTATCTTAATTTCAACGGAATGATCATATTTTAATCATTACTTAACCACCTATATTTTTTTGACTAACATAATTTTATAAAAATAAAGTAATAAAAAATTTATTGTAAACATTTTTTTTGACTAAATTTTTTTTTTAATTACTTTTTATAATTTTTTTTTATACTTTGCCGCCTAGGGGCTACCGCACCTCTTGATAAAACAAATTTACCCACACCGCCGGCACACGTGACGCGTTACTCACGCAAATCGTTGAGCTATTATCCATCGTTCGTTGTGTTATTTTTTTTTTCTTCACTTTTTAATGGAAAGAATTCCTCGCGGCTCTCGTGGCGCGCGCGCGCGGCGTTCCTGTATGCTTTCTCACGCGCGCGAGCGAGCGAACGATCGCAATGTGTGTAGTATATATATTTATGAACGCTTTTCCACTTTCATCATCGAAAAATGTGGCGGCAACGACGACGGCAGCGGCGGCAACGTTTCGAATATTTGCACGTGCATATTTTTTTCCTTCTCTCTCGCTCGCTGCGCTCTCATACATGTTAATATCGTGCGTATCGAGTCTGTGTGAGTGTATATACTGCCATGCGTGATGATAAGCGCAGAGAGCACGTGCACACGCGTGCGTATGTGCAGCGGTGGCGGCGGCCTGTGCCAATGTTTTCGCGTAGCTCTTTTCTTTTCTCCTCACTTTTTTTTTCTTCTGTTTTCCAAGCGTTGCTCTAGCGATGACTTTCTCTGCGCGGTGGCATTTTTTACTTTCACTATGTATACATACGTGTGTGTTGTATATATGGCGGTACGCGCGATATATATCACAATCATCGTGTGGCTTTGTGCTGCATAGACAGACACACACAGCATATAGGTAGACTTATTAAAGGCGCGTATATAGATTTATTCTGTAAAATAGCTTGTTTCGCCGCCCGTGACGACGACGGGATATTCGAGAGAGTTTGTATTTATGTACTACGGTGACAAACTCGATTGCAGTTATCTCTAAAATCAATAAACAGCTGTATAATAACAGCTGCAAGATGCCAAACTTGTTTACAATCATTTATGAAGTACAAAAAAATTAAAATACAAGTAAATTAATAAAATCAATCTTTTTATTTATTTTGATTCAAATTCACATTTTTAAAGAAAGAGAAAAATTATAAAGTATTACTACTCCTATACTAACATATTTGTCTTGTATCTATAATAGTTAATAAATAAAAGAATCATATTATGAGCTTAGGCCTTTAAACGCCAAGCAAATGTTAAATAAATCTTTGCTCAATAGCTGCTCGATGATCATATCACAGCAGAGACCAAGTTTCGACCATTCGACCAAGAGTGTACGATTCTTGTCCAAAGCTTTTACGTGTTACCAACCGTGTCCTGAGCGTTGATCTGCAGCGACTTAAGTTTTTCGTCAGATTGTCATTATTGATTCATTACCGAATGTATCTATGTATCACCTACCGAAAGAATATGACATTTGGTTAAACGTGGGATGATCGCGATCCGGTCACGCGCGACGAAGACGCTCTTGTATCTTATATACGCTCAATGACGAAATAGATCGGACTCTTTTACTCTCTCAAGATTGCCGTCTCACAAAATACTTACATGCCTATTTACTATATATCATTATTGTACACGCGAAAAGCTATGTAGCCTGTAACGTTATGTATACGCAAAACAACTTCGCGGTCGCCTTATTATTCGCCCTAGACAAGCGATTTCAATGGGCATCGAGGACCATCACAGCTCGCGGTCTAGATCGCCGATCGTTTACGTTATTATTCTGGATATAAGCCTATATACCATGCTCCAATATCAACAGCAGCTGCTGCTGCTCTGCAAAGTCAGCGCTATTACATGTATACGAGCGCTCATCAATGTGCAGCGAGCGTCCGGATGATTTCGTCGAAATTCATAACGAGATATGAAGAAAAAGTACGTTCGATGCGGCCCGTATTATACACGACACACACACACACACACACACACACAATGTGTATCGAGGTATACGAGTGACTATGGAATTTCGTGTATATACCTTGTACGTATGCACGCGAGACGATGTGCCACCTGGCTTTACGCGATACCTGTATATAATGTACTAATTTCTTCCACCTGTTGGCGCGTGCGTATATATTTTATATACTTGTATAAAGGCCCGTACGCATCGAGCTCGCTCCTTTCTTCCGACGATCATCGAGAGCATGAAAAAAAAAATTTTTTTTACGTATACACAACTCGTAATAAATAACGTCTCGATACACATAACGACGGCTTGGGTATACGCTCGCAGTTACAAAGCCGCGCGTAGTTTGCGTCGGTAAATATTTCATACATCCATATCCATATATTCCATATAAAATAGCCGTAAGGAGCTCTTGGGTCTCGCGATCTTGCATCGAGAGCGCGCTCAGCTCGCTGCTCCTCGCGAATGTATACACGGCATACCTATATAGTAAGGCCTGCAGCGTGCGGCTGCATCGTTGCTGCTGCAGCTTGAGTGAGAGAGAGAGATGCGGAGCGAGGAGAAGGGAACTCTCGCGTTGGCTCGCGCGCGCGCGGGTGAGGGGTCCGCATTCCACAGACAATGTCACGTTTTTTAATCCCCATTTTATACACACATATATAATAATAATAATGGTGTATAGTCGTGTATACCTTTCTGTATAATATACTCGCAGCAGCCTCCGTGTGTATGTGTGTTGTTTGTATAGAGATAATCACGCGCGCTACACACACTTATATACGCTCGCGCCAAAGTGAGACGAGCAATAAATTTTTACATCAAATATTTTCCTCTCTATCTCTCTCTCTCTCTCTCTGTCTCTCGGTGTACACGAAATATATCGTCAAATATGCGGCGCGTAAGTGCGCAGCGCGCGTGAATTTAAACGCTCTCTCTCGGCGTTGTATATATACTTTTGAGGTCATCATCATCTCTCTCCTTCTCTCACTGGCGCGCGTGTGCCAAGTGCATCGTAACGAAGCCGCGCGTCGAATTAAAAAAAAATCCTTACCTTACCCCGTATACGCACCGCGCATACACTTGCATGCGCAAGGAGAATGATGTATGATTCTCGCGAAACGACGACGACGACGATCTTGAACTATTGTAATTGTGTGCCGCTCAATGCGATCATATGCTGACATCATCGCGCGAGATCTTCCAAGTTCAGTCCGATATTTTAATCACTGCCAGTATACCGCGGCAGCAGCGTGTCATTGCTGTGTACGTACATGTCATTCAGGAAAAAAACATCTTTTTTTTTGCCTTTTCGCGCGAAACAATTAAGTATTCTATATATACTCGTGTTCTCTCTGTTTTTTTTTGCTTCTCTGGATCTAGTGGCCAACTTCGCGACTCGCTCGCGATATTTTATATGCATCGGAAGATCGTAAAATATTTTTCATAAAACAATGAGTCGTTTGGATAATGAGCTCTTAAATATTATAAAGCCCGCGAAGTGAAACTGCGCTAGCGCCGATTTTTATTATACACATGCTTCGAGCTATATGCATAGAATACATAAAGCTTCTTCCTCCGCGCTGTATCCAATATTTAATGCGTTTATATATAAAGGATATTCTCAAAGCTCCCTCGGCCTAGGCTCAATTAGAAAATAAATGTCCTTTTGTCTCTCACCCCTCCCCCGCATTTTATTATTATGCGTATTATAAGTCGAACGAACATTGTTGTCGTCGCCGTGCAGCACAGCGCCTATTATCATGATAATTTTGTCACGTTCCAATAATTATAATAAACGAACGGCCGACTATATATGAGGAGCGCGCACGCGACGCCAAGCGTATATATAATACACGGCGTGATACTCGATATAATTTATTCATATCTTTCTCTCTTTTCTTATCTTTTGCAGAAGCAGCAGCAGACAAGAGACACGTAGTACGAAATTCGAGGGATCCCTAAAATAAGGAGTTTTTCCTCTTCTCGGTTTCGGAAGTTCGCAGCTCGGTATCTCTATATACACTACACTCCAGCAGGACTTCCGGAGTGTATATAAAGCCAACGAATACGACGACGACGCACAAGAAGAAGAAGACGTCTGTTGTTGCCGCTGCCGAGTTCTATATATAATAATACTCTCTGCAAGCAGCAGGAAGTACATTTACACACGCTCGCGCAGATAATACGTATAAAAAAAAAGGAAGGAAAGAAAGGAAAGCTGCTCCTTGAATACGTACGCGAGTGTGCCAGATATATATACAGCAGTGTATTTGTGCTCGCGCGTGTTTTTTTTGTTGTGTGCGCGGAGTACGAGCGAGTCGTTACGATACATTCGTACGAGGCTTTTTTCGAGAGGATGTCCGCGGTTGAGAGCGCCCTCGACGTCCTCTCCAGGGCTGCCACCATGGTCCAAGGTAAGTTTATTTGATATTCAACCATCGTAACTATATACTACTCGCGCGGATAGCATAGAATTACGCGAAATCGGTTTTAATTACTCGATAAGACGATACGATCGTTACGTTTTTGCGTCGCAAAAATTATAAAATCTGAAAAATTAATTACACTCCGTGGACTCTCGGCGCGAAAAATTTGCACAAATATCGCGCACGTGCGCTCTCGACAATTATCTGTACGCAATACATCGGCAAAACGCACACAGCACACCAGATCACCACCGCACCGCACGCAGACGCAGCGTGCGTCGCTGCTTGCCGGAGCAAAGGCAATTAAGGTCAATAAATAATATATATCGTCGATGTGCTGATACGCGAACGTTATATTATATACACGAGATATTTATTTTGCACTATTAATATACGCCCAGAGCTACCGCACACAAACACCATGTGTGCGTACGCCGATCATGATCACGATGACGATCATCGTCGTCGTCGTCGTCGTTGTCGGATCGCCGCCGCTGTACACGTGCGCACGCGTTCATATACGCGGCACTGTGTGTAGTATTTTTTTTTTTACTTGCCTCTCGTTTCATTTTTTTTTTTTTTTGCGCATCGGTTTGTTATCTTTTCATTGACTCAAAGCCGCGCGCGGACGAGTTTACATAAACACACGCCAACCGAGAGAGAGAAAGAAGCAGCGAGCTTCTCGTATATACAATGTGTATTATTTTAATAGTCTGAAAAAGAGGTTTCAATTTATCGAACTCTCGTATAAACGCATACAGCAACGTTTGTGTTGTTGAACAAGCAAAACAATTTAAAAGCTGAAGAGAGAGGAAGAGAGAATCGGGGCCGTTTGAGGAAAAATGCAATCGAGTTTCTTTTTTTTGTCTCGCTTCTTGATTACTAATCGCGGCTATTTTTAAACGTGTGCGCGCCGGCGCTCGAAAGCTCGGTGTACATATACGCCGCTTTTGTGCGCGAACGAAAATCCATCCATCAGGCTTTGAAGAAAAAAAACAAAGCATTTATCCGCCAAATTAAATACACCTAGACTAGACACGGTTATTTACATTGAATTGTATTATGTACATTGTACGATAGAGTAGTTGAATGCAAAGAGAAAAAAAATTGTAATAAGCACACGCATCCGCGCGAGAGGAAGAAAAAAGACAAAAAAGGGAGCACACAGAAACTTTCTTCAACGACGTCGAGGACGACGACGATGGTTTGCTTGCTCGACAAAGCGCGAAAAATCATCGTTCCAAGACTCTCTCGCAGGCGGGTCGATAGTAGGCTCGCTGGCTGAATTCGCATATATGAGTTTGTATAGACACACACGGACACATGCACAACTTGCACGCATGAGAAGATGCAGTCGCTATATGTGTGTGTGTATGTAGCGCAAATTTCATATAATTAAGAGTACACACTGCCGAGCGTGTGCATACGATCTTTGGACGCTAAAATTGTTGTTTTTTTTCTCTCTCTCTATCTTTCTCCTTCGCGCACGCTAGTCTTTTTTTTCGCGGTCATCGCGTTGTTGTGCGCATTTTTTCGCGCGGCAGTCATCGTCGTCGTCATCGTCGTCGCGGTCTTGGCTTTTAAATATCCTCATCGACAAAAATCCGGTCTACTACCATAATATATAGCGCACGGTGCAGCGGAGCATATAAGCTCAAGTTCGACGCTGCGCCATTGAATCGCGCGCGCCCACATTCCAACGGATCGACGTTCTCGCATGCACACGCGACGCTCGTACACACACACACAGACACAAGCGAGACTCGACGCATACATTTACACGATTTTACGCCCGATTAGATACCTTCGTATCTTACCTTTATAGCACGCGTTTATGTGGCTCGGAGAGACGACGCGCACGAATGTCTCGTTTTGCGCGCCCGCGAAAATCGTAAATATAGATGACTTTAGATGAATGTGTCTTTTGCGCGCGAGAGTTCGAGAGAGAGAGTGTGTCTATTTCTATATCACATGTCTACGTGTGTGTATATAGATATGCTTTATATATCTGCGGACACACGCACATGTGCCGTGCGATATATAAATGTGCATCTTTCTCTCTCTCTTGCACGCAAAATTCCAAAGGCCGCAACCGCACACGCGCAAAAGTCTAGCCAAGCTCTCTTCGTGATGTTGTATATGCACGCGCCCAAGAGAAAGAGAGAGAGAAAACATTCCGATACAGATTATATTTATAAAATATGCGCTACCGCTCGCGACGACGATGACGATGACGACGATGCTCTTGTGCGCACGCGACATCAACGTGCGTGTATAGACGTTATATGGAGATAGAGAGTCGCTGCACAACGAGATATATGTTTTTTTCACCAGAAGCTTTATGGGGAGTTTCGACACTCGCTTCCAGGTATATGGAATATCGTATAGGTATAAGAGGCTGCCGGGCCGGATGAGATTCGTGTGTGGTGGCGGTGATGCAGTGGAGGTGGAGGTTATTACTCCTTCACCCACCCGTTCATCATTTTGGGAATACCGCGTTTTTGCCGCTGCTGCTGCATCGAGCCGTTATTTCGTTTTGTGTTGTTTTTTTTCTTATACTCTCTGACGTACGAGCGCGACTGGACCGCGACCAACGATGATTGAGAAAAATTTGCGCGCGCACAATAAGCGAGTCGGAATTTCGGTCTGATTGAATAACGCGCACAATAATAACGAGAGCATGCGGAAAATTTGAGATATTTCCTCGTACGACGGCAGAAGGCGTGCGTCGGATGATTTATCTCGCCTCTAGGAGATTAATAACTCGTCCAAACACAAAAATCGTGCTACCCAGTATAACACGTCTATTATCGAAACGAAAAAAAACAGAAAAAAATAGTCTATCTCTGCGCTCTTTTTTTTTTGACCAAGTCATGCTTGCGAAGCTCGGTCGCACACAGACACGGTACGCATAATGCAACGTGCTATATAAACGTCGAACGCGTCGCGCTTGTTTAGCACGTTATAAGGTACAACACACGTATTATTAACATAAAGTTCTCTGCTACTGCATCGCGCGGGCTGGCCTGGCCTGGCTCGTTCGCTTTTGCCGCTGCTGCTGCTCGTGCTCGCGTCAGCAGACAAGGTCAAGGCAGTTTCGCCAGCTTAGTAGGTATAGAGGTATATAGCAGTGCGTTTATAATGAGATCGCCGCGCGGCTCGCGAATCGCATCGGCGCGAATAATAATCATACGCATCGCACGTATTATTCCGAAATTATTTTGATCGTGCACTCGAAATGATGCGCGCGTCCGATCTCGTTGCGCAATCCATATTATGGTATAATACAACGACTGTCTAAACTCATCGCGAAAGAATGTCTTTACGCGCGATCCATTGTAAAATAAGCGCGTACATATACACAACACCACATCGAGAGACTTATATAGAGCCGCGAGATCGGAATTCCGATCGGCCGTTCGCGCGCGTTTTGGATCTCGAAGCGAGAGAGCTTCTAGCGAAGCTGCGATCTCTTGTACTACACACGCTCGCGGGCCGAGTCATTCTAAACGGCAGCAATTATGTACGTCAACGAAACAATGCTCCGCGCGTGAGAGCTGTTGGAGCGCAGAAACAATAATTGAAAAGTAATTATTACGATTGAAAAAAAAAAGAAAGAAACACATGACATTCCGATCGGGGTGGTGTGGGCAAGGTCGTTGTTGGAACACTGCAAAATTATCTCTTCTACTATGACGCTTTTTACCCGACTCGTGTCTCGAAAGACAAAAAGAAGAAAATATCTATTTGTCATTTTACTTCTTGCTCGCGCGCTCGTTCTTATTTCTTCTTCTTCGCGCGCTCCGAATCGTATAAGCTCTCATCGTCGCTGCAGCGGCAGCTCCGAATTGACGCACAGGCCGGCCAGCAGCAGCAGCCAGGCAATGGCACAAGGTATCGAGGTATGTCGAGGGTCAAACCTGTTCTGAATACCAGGCGCGCTTTTGTCGTACATATAGTCGCCCCGCGATCTCTTTTGCCTTCGCCAGCAGTTCGAGAGAGAGAGATGCCGGGGCTGTATAGCCGCAGAGCAGGCAGGCGTACTTTTGCAGCTATCTATATCCATCTCTCGTGCTGCGGGCCGGCATCTCCCGCGCGCGTGTTTATATACTTATATACGCACTCACGCACGACGCGCATTCTTCGAATGTTTTTTACTCCTCCCGCTGCTGCTGTTGCTGCTCACTTTTCTCTCTTTCTTTCTTTCGCCACTCTTTTTTTGGGTGACATTCTCTCGTTTTTCTTTTTTTTTTTAAATTTGTTTGTGTCGCACTTGGCAATTGGAGCGCGTGCGTGCGTAATCGATTCGTGCGATTTGATCGGTATAGCGAAACGACTCGAGTTTTATTGGATTATTTTTAAATTGCGCGCGTGAGTTCGACGTTGAATAAAATCGGAGCTTGAGTTGCGTCGGTAAATGAGTCCTGCAGTTACCATATAGAGAAAGAGGTTTTACCGACCTCGTACCGACAGTCGTTTCCCTCCCGAGGATCGTAACCTGTTTCATCGACGCTCAACAATTTATCCACGTGATTCAAACTTTTCGTATACATTCAAGTTTGGCTTATAAACGCTTGTCACAATTATGGATATTAATTTTATCTAACGATCGGATCTAACGATGCATTCGTATATCTCTCTCGCTCTCTCTCTCGATTGGGAACGAGAGAAAAAAGGGGGTGGGTGATAAAAATCGTCAATATGTAGATCAACTATTTATATAAACGCGGAGCAGCGTCGCCGATACGCCGAACACGTGTGCAAACGACTCCAAGTATTATTTTTAATCTATAATATAATAAAACGTCAACAAATGTCAACGCGCGCGCGCGTTCCGCGAAGGTGACAATTGCGCTCAATTTTCCTTGTATAAATAATTCGCGCGTATTGTTTTCTTAATTTTATTATTTTTTATTATTGGCCCGAGAACAATACTATATTATTATTCCTATTAGCGTGCGTGAATCGATTCGCGCGCGGAAGTCCTC